GAAAGGTGGGGGGGGGGGGGTTAAGGTGCGCCCTCACTCAACTGACACCAAGGCAGAAAGCAGGGCAGTTCAAACAATGCTGCCTTTTTTGCAGTTTTTCTATCCCACCCCCAGAGCACTGGGATTGGAAGGGACCTCAGGAAAAGTCACTGGCCAGCTACACAGTCAATAATGAGAGCATTCCGCCCTCCCCCCCGCCCCCCTTTCACCTCTCTTCCCCCTCCCGCTCCTTACTTTAGTTTCTGTTTCCCTGCAGGCAAAACCAGCTTGAGCTTCGAAACTTGAAACGTTGCGACTTACCTCGTTTGGTTTTGAGGCTGTTTCGAAGCTCTCAGTTTGGAGTTGAAACAGTGTTGAAATTAAACTGCCAGTGAAATTTCACACAGCCCTAGCAGCTGGCTCTGTGTGCTCTGTCCTGCTCCCGCCAGGGTGCAGTAAAAAAAAAAAAAGGTTGGGAACCACTGTTGTAGAATATTCAGGTTAGACTAGACTGGCAGTCTGACTGCTTAAAGCAAGTAAGGCAAATAGTAACGCTTTCAGACTTCCTTGCATAAGGAAGCATGAAAAGGACAAAGGCACTGGCGTATTTAACCTTTTCTTTTTGCCAGATCATTTAGGTGCTAATAAGCTGATGGTTCAATAACTGTGCGTTGTAACAGGCAGCCTATTTATATGGTACAATATATACTTAAAAGGAGATGACTGCTTGGTTGTGAGTACAGATAGCGGGAGAACTTTGCTCTAAATATATACCCAATAAGTATCTTGTTTGTCTCTTGTGCCACTGTGTCCTGTTCTCCTAAGGAAAATGAGATGGACAAAATAAAGCATGCCATGTGCAGTGTGTGAGACCTGTTGTGACTGCAGTGTCCCCAAGTAGCACTGGAGCTGTCTTACCACCTGCTCCCATGGTGTCATGATCCTAGTAATCAATAGACATTATGTTATGGGGAAATGGGAGGAGAGATCCTACTCCTGAGATGGGCAGTTTTCCTGGGGTTACCCACTGAGCAGCAAGTGACAGATCTTTAACCCCCAACATTTTTATCTTGTGGTAGATGAGAAGGTATACAGAAACTGTACTGCCCAACTATGTGCCA